CATACATATTAAAAAATAAAAGAAAGGATAAATGATAAATGCCAAATTCAGGACGGGGGAAGGTATAAGATAGGGAAGGGGTACAACAGGGGACTTCAACTGCAGTGGCTTTATTTCTTAAGAGTGACGGGTAAATAAACGGTATTCCTTATACTGTATTTCATGCATATACATCTTACCATTTCTGAAATTGGGATGTGTCATGCAATCATGTCATAGTTTCAATAGCAACATTTCTTTCTTAGTGAGACATAAAACAATGGTTCATCTCACAATCAGTGACATCATAGATGTGTCTGAAATATGGAATTAATCATTATACTCTCTGTATTCCTTTAACATTGCACAATAATTAAAAATTAATGTACTTGGTTGCAACCAATGTCACAAAACCATTTGTGAATAATTTTTTGAATGAGAAACTAATGTGATCTGTAAACTTTCACCTAAAGCACAGTAGAAAAATAATGTACCTGGGTTGCAACCAAACTACACAAATTATAATCAACTTAATATAAGAACATAACCAATTTCTTTGAGAAATCCAGACTTTTGGGAATGTAGTCTTCCACAAGCTAGAAAAATTCACTTTTACTGAGTCATATGTGTATATCACATTGAATTATGTACCTAAACACAGCAAGGGTTCAGAGAAAACCCAACCTCTTGCCGTCAAGTCGAATTCCGACTCATTGTGACCCTGTAGGACAGAGTAGAACTGTCCCGTAGGGTTAAATCTTTACTGCCACATCTTTCTCCCGTGGAGTGGTTGGTGGGTTTGAACTGCTGACTTTTTGGTTAGTAGGCAAGTGCTTAACCACTGCACTACCAGGGCCCCTTGGTTTCAGAGAAGGGTGGGGAGGAAAAAAAAAAAAAAGAATGTATATTAAAGGGAGTAAGAATTGGCTCTGGGCCTTTAAAGATTTAAGGCATCAGGGGCGGGGAGTAGGATGGATATTTTAGATGAGGGGAATAGTAAAGCAAAGGTAAAAGTACTAGCGAGAATGACTCATTCAGAGAACTGTGAAGGGCTTGTTTTTTGAGAGCTAATAAATGTGCACGTGTATGTGTATCAAGACTACATTGGTCAGCAACGTACAGAAAGGGTGAGAGCAGAGGCAGGAATAAAGCCACCTAAACAAAAATAACAACACCAAAAACCAAACCCGTCGCCGTCAAGTCGATTGTGACTCACAGCGACCCTACAGGACAGAGTAGAGCTGCTCCACAGGGTTTCCAAGGAGCGGCTGGTGGATTCAAACTGCCGACCTTTTTCTGGTTAGCAGCCATAGCTCTTAACCACTGCGCCACCAGGGCTCCACAGGGTACCTAGAAGATAATATATTCCATGTGGCAGGTAATGAAGGCTGGGACCAGAGGGGTGCCATGGGAATAAAGAAGAGACAAAAGAGATACTTCTGACTATTTAGCAATTTTCAAGAAGGCTGAAGCAATAGATTTAAGAGTTAATAGCTGCACTTCAACTATCTTAAAACATATGAAGAGAATAGTAGTATAAAATAGTTATTAGGCCAGATCAATGGTTCCCAACCCTGTGTGTAAGCCCCATGGCTGGGACTGAAAACCACTACCTAAGCTTTGGCAATATCCATAAAGTGATCAAAGGGAAGACCTGTTTAACAAGTACCAATGAGGCTGGAGGCACTGCTCTCTGCTCTAAATCCACTGGAAATGGAACTCAGAGTTACAGAGATACATCAAGATCAACCACTATTACCTACCGTTCAGACCAAGGGCACAATAGAAGGTCTCAAACAGAATGGGAGGAAAATGTAGAACAACACTCTAATTCCTAAAAAAGGCCAGGCCTACTAGACTGATAGAGACTACAGGAACCCCCGAGACTATCGCCCTACTCTCTTTAAACTTGGAATTGAAGTTTTTCTGCAGGCCACCTTTCAGAAAAATAATAGATTGGCTTATAAAATAAACAATATCACCTGTGAGTAATGTGCTCCCTTGAACAAATGGTCAACATTTATCCAAAAGCAAAGATGATAAACAAGGACGGGCAGGGACGCTAGACCAATGGACACAAACAGAACGAAATAATGAGAATGCTGACACACTGTAAAAATTGTAACCAACTGCATGGAACAATCTGTATAAAAACTGTTAAAGGGGAACTTAATTGGCAGTGTAAGCTTTCACCTAAAACACAATAAAATATTATTAAAATAAAATAATAATAAAAAAAAAGATTAACCACTACTTCTTTTACCCACCCCCAGATAAAATATTATACTACAAATAATACCATCTACCCTCCGGGATGGTATCTAGCAGTTAATAAAGAATTCCTACATATATTCACCCAAAAATCTTCATGGCTGCCAATTACCAGGTGCTATTTTAGCCTCCAAGAGAAAACTAGGTATAGTTCTTTCCCTGTAGGAACACCAGTCTGGCAGGGGTGACAGACAGTATAACTAGGTGCCAATAGAGAGGAAGGGGCAACTACTTAGTTGCCTGGGGAAAGAAGTAACTTTTGAGCTAAACCTTGATGTTGGAATGATCAATGGGGGATAGGGAGAATGAGATTCCAAAAACCAGATATTAAATATTCCACTTTACACTATCTGCATAGTCTTTTTCCACAGTGTTAAAAACAGTGTACACCACATATTATTTACTACCACCGTTCTAGGGGAGGGCACGAATCTACAACGTAAGTAGGCATTTAAATGTTAAAACTACAACACTGATCATTTTTAAGAAGTTATCAATAAATGTTATGAAATTATCACCAACATTTAAATGGTGTTATTTACTTGTCCAGAGAAATTGATATTCCTATTCTTACAAGCACGTAGATGATTAATTCCATAGCGGAAAATACTAGTCAACAAAGTTAACTGCAAAGAAATCTTTCACTTTCACTTGCAAAATGAAAGTCAAGGGGAAAAAAAAAATTAAACTAATGAGAAAAAGAACTTGCTCAGTCGATTTTACTCTTAATAAGGATTCTTTAAAAGATTCTTTAGCTCTTCCCAACTGTGAGATTGTACTCCTGATCTGTGCAAAGGAATACAGCAGTCAGAAAACATCTCCTGCTGAAGTATGAATAAATAAAAATAGCTGAACGGGAAGAAATAAGGACATTATCAACAGGAGACTTCCCTGACTCCAAATTACTCATTCAGAAAACTGATCTTTCTGGTTGGCATCATGGAGGGTAACTTTATCTTCTAAACCAATTGAAAGCAGACACCACAGCAGAGAGCCACCCAGTTCTTGGGATAGTTTAGTGCATGATGGGATATGTAGTTTTTAGAGAAGTACATCAATTTGAAGTGGGAAACACCTTTGACTGAAAAAACTAAACTCTGCTTTACACTAACAGTTCTCCAGCAATTCACTCCCCGTAAACCCCTGTAGTCAAAGCACCACCCAGTTTTGATACAACTCCATAAAGACATTCTCATTCCCGTGACAACCCACTCCCCCAAAGTTAACAATGTGGTTATATAATTGAGAAGAGTTGTTTCTGACAGAGAATTATAAGTTCTAGAGGCCTATAAAAACCACCTTAAATATGTAATCAGTACTGCCAGCTAGCCACTCGAGTAACCTCCACAAAATCTCAAAAAGATGAAAACAAAAATTTATTGCCCTGAGCATATCCTTCTGATTCAGGTGGTCTTCACTACAGGGCTTCTAGTGTAACCCACAACAAATCAGCTGACCCCTGAGGAATGAAGAGAGTTAGAAGCAAGTGAAAAGTTATACACTAACTTTGTTTTACTGATACTTTTGAATACCAAAAAAACCAAACCCATTGCTATCCAGATTGCCACTCACAGTGAGCCTATAGGACAGAGTACAACTACCCCACAGGGTTTCCAAGGAGCGGCTGGTGGATTCGAACTGCCGACTTTTTAGTTAGCAGCCAAGTTCTTAACCACTATACCACCAGAGATAGTTTTTAATTAGGAGTCACTGTGGCACAAAGGGAAAAATTAAGTACTGTAATTAGCGTGGATATACTGAGCTATCCCAAGTTTTAAGATAATCATTACTTGCTGTGGTATTGATTTGGGGTTAAAAAAAAAAACAAAAAAACCACACTCGGGTTTACTGGTCCAGAGTCCTTTTTGTTCTCCTTTCCCCTCTCTCCCAGGACAGATTTTTATCTCGAATTAGTTCTATCCTAAGGGATTTACAGCCTTGTTCAATCAAATCACTCTTTAGTGGAATATTTCTCCAACAGTGGTTACTCTCACTGGAGTCTTTTTGACAATTTTCAGAAATCCTAATTAAAAGTGACAATTTGGACAGATACGGATAGACTTACTCTTTTCTTGTTCACCTACTCTTCTTTTTGACAGAGGACTCTGCTGGTGCTAATAAGTGATCAGCTTAATGAATGAAGTGTACAACACGCGATGGACAAAATCATCGCCTGCCTTAGGAAAGCACTTAGGATCATTCTGCAGCCACTGAGTGACCTTGGCTAGAAACCAACGGCTGCGGGGCGTCGTGCAGGAAGAAAGGAAATGCCCTGGGGGCCCGGGGTCTCAAATCCAGGTGAAACGTCCGCTTCAATAAGGCCTCGGGATGCCCCGTTTGTAGACTGGGGAACGTTAACACGACTCACCCAGGAACTGTGAAGGCACACATCGCGGGGGAAGGGAGGGAATGGTTAAAGCCTCTGCAAATAGGAAGTGCTGCAAGAGCACCGTGGAAGGATGTGGCCCCGCGTGCCGAGGCCTTCGGGTTTGCCTTCTCGGGTCTCGCTCCCCGGCGTTCAGCGCCAACTTCTCCGCCCCGACAAGGCCACTCGGGCTCCCGGGGCTGGGAAACGGCGGCCGCAGCCGGGGTCCGCTGGAATGGTGGAGGGTGCCGTTGCCGGCGCCGCCTAGGCCCAACCGTTTCGGCGCCTTCGCTCACCGGCCCAGCCCGGCCTCCCTCCCCGCCCCGGCATAATGGCCTTACCAGGGGGCGAAGAACTCGACGAGCATGAGGCCCGCAGAGCCCGTGTCGGCAACGCGACTCTCGAAGTTCTCGTCGGTGAGTTCCAGTACGTCGGAGGCAGCGGCGAGGCGGGCGGCGGCGAGAAGCAGCGCCACGACCGGGAACAGCGCTAGGCGGCGGAGGCGCATGGCGGCGAGGTGAGGTGGGGGCGGCCAAGAGGGTCGGGCTTGGCGGGGACTGCAGAAGTCGGGCCGGCGACCGCACAACCTCAGCCTGCGCTCGCGCGTCTGGCCCACCCGGACCTGCATCCGGAGGTCCCAACCCCCTAGCCCGGCTCAGGCCGCAGTGTGGCACCGGCGGATTGGCTGCGCGGCGCCTGCGTCGGGCGCGCGGGGGGGCGGGACCAGCCGGTAACCGCCGAGTGGCCGGAGCGCGGGGCGGGGCCGAAGCGGCGAGCGCCCCGGCGAGCGGGGCTGGCCCGGAGCGAGCCGGAGCCTGGGGTCGGGGTTGGGCAGGGCTAGAGATGGGGCGCAGCCCGGCGGGGGGCCGGCCGTGAACTCTGCCGCGGTGGAGGGAGCTAAGCTTAGGGGGCGCCGGAGGCGGAGGCGGAGGAGTGAAGTCAGAGCTGAATGGGCGGAAGGGAGCCAGGGCTGCGGTGAGACCCAGAAATGGGAATTCAGGAGAGAAAGAGCTGCTGCCCGAGGAAGAGTCGAGGTGGACATACTCGGGACGAGAAACATTTTCAAAATGTCAGCCATTTATACAGGCTGTTGCATTTTGTCCAATTCCCCTTAACTTGCTTTTTCTCGGGGTGGGGGCGGGCAGCTGTAAGCCCTCCCACCGTCCCACCTGATTGGTCTGATCCCCTGAAATTCAGGTAGGGCCAGATTTCTCTTTGTCCAGCCCCAGGCCTCCCACCCTGTGGCTGCTGCTTTGAGTTTTTAGTTAGAAATGTCATCACACACGTGAAGGTGCCTGGCCTTTTGATTGCGCAATCTCTTTCTCACGACTCCTATCTCCTTTTGTTTCAAAAACCTTGAGTCTTAGTACAACGTGTCTGTTCTTCCCAACTGCTCATAGGTCCTAGATATGGGAGCCCTGGTGGCGCCATGGGTAAGCACAGCTGCTAACTGATAAAGGTTGGCATTTCAAACCCAAGCAGCGGCTCTGCGGGAGAAAGACCAGGCAATCTGTTTCCTTAAAGACTAAACCAAACCAAATACCCGTTGCGGTAACCGCCGACCTTCCAGTTAGCCGAGCTCTTAACCACTGCGCCACCAAGGCTTCTCCCTTAAAAACTACAGCCTAGAAAACTCTATGGGGCTGTTCTATACTATGGAGTCCCTTCTGCTTTGTCACATGGGGTCGCTCTGAGTCGAAATCAACTCGAGGTCGCCTAGGAACAACAAGAAGATCTTTTAAGGGCAAAGAACTTGGGGAGGAGGAGGAAAAAACCTCTCAACCTTGGTGCAACTATAAGAATTAAATGACGTTTGATTCTCCGTTTTCTTAACAGACATGGCCAGTTATCATCCAGAAGAGCATATGCAGTTGCCCCGAGCAGATGCCATTCGTTCACGTCTTATTGATACCTTCTCTCTCATCGAGCATTTACAAGGCTTGAGTCAAGCTGTTCCAAGGCACACTATCCGAGAGTTATTTGGTCAGCGGCCTATTTCTTGGCAAGGCTTAATTTAAGACTCCTATCCAAACACCCTCTACAGAGTAGGAAGTAGAGAGACACATTTAAGAGGGGACAATTCAGGGAGGTTGGCTTGGTTGCTAGCTTGGAGGTTACACCAAACTTGGTAAATCAAGGGCTTTGTAAATAAATTTATTTGAATCCAGGAGATAGAACCCATGTCACTCACTTTTAGGCACAGGACAGCTGCTTGCCTTGGCTGACTTGGAAAGTTTTCTACCAAAGACACCTGAAACTTTGAGGGCTGAACCTGCTGCCTTTATTCTTAGGCATGCACAGTGTTGGTCATTAGCTCTCGCTCCAAACAAAGAGGGTTCTTGCTGCTGTGAGGAGCAGCAGCAAGGCAAGCCCCTGCACTAGGTGCCCATTAACTGACCGGTAGTTAAGTGCTACGGCTGTTAACCAAAAGGTCAACAGTTCGAATCCACCAGCCACTCTTTGGAAACCCTATGGGGCAGTTCTACTCTGTCCTATAGGGTCACTGTGAGTCAGAATCGACTTGATAGCAATGAGTTGGGTTTGGTTTTTGGTTGAAGTCCCTGAGTGGTATAAATGGTTAACATGCCCTGCTGCTAACCAGAAAGTTGGGGTCCATCCAGAGGCACCTCGAAGAAATGTCAGGCGATCTAAAAAATCAGCCATTGAAAACCCTATGGAGCACAGTTCTACTCTGACACACATGGGGTCGCTAGGAGCCAGAATCTACTCAAAGGCAACAGGTTTGTTTGTTTTTAATCCCTGCCCCCAACGCTACCTACTCTTCACATTCCCCAAAGACTTCTCTTTATATTTATCCACTGGCCCTTTAAAATGTTCGTGATAGATCCTTCTCGTCAGAAGAAACTTATGTCGGGAGATCAACACCAGCTCGTGCGCTTCTTCATAAAGCCTCGTCACGTAGAGCGGATTACTCATGCGCGGAGACTGATGAGCCGACTTCGGGTGCGCTGCAGTCAGAGGCCACCTCTTTCTCTGTGGGCCGGATGGGTCCTTGAGCGTATCCTTTCATGCCATTCATTTTTATCCCCTGCTTTACTGTCTCTCTTGCTTCGTCATCTACCTAATTTATTTATTTTTCTTTCCCAAACTCCATTTTCTTCTCATTCTCACTGCTTCTATTCCCCCCTTATTATTTCAACTGTGTGAGAGAGAACTCCACTCTGTTTCCTTAAAAGAAAACAGGTCCTCTCTTCACAAATTTTATCATCTTCCTCATCTTTCTGAATACGATCGTACTGATGGTTGAAATAGGTGAGAACTGACATCGAACGGAAGAGGAAGTGGGTGGGAGTCATTTTTCTTCTAAATTGATCATTTTATGTTTTTTAAATATCATTTGAATTGTAATAGGGGCAATTATATTAAGCCCTTTGAGTAGAATTTGTGCAACTGCTAAGAACTAGTAACATTTGGAGGGCTCTTGAGAGTGTTGTGGATACAGGATGGTCTGGACACAGAGGTAGAGTGTAGTACGTACAATGTCACAAATGCACAAGGAGCTGGAGCTGTGAAGACTGGTCATATTTATTTTGTCAGTTTCGTCTAATATTTGTTTGGATTAACCTTTTCTGTTTCTATTAGAGCTATGGGTGCCGAACAGTAAGTGACCTAACATTTATATTTTTACAAGTATGTTTAGAAAGGTTAAGTGTGAATAAGAAAGCTCACAGAGTATGTGAAGTAAGGTACAACTAAGATATTAGAAAGAGCCCTGGTGTCACAATGGTTAAACGCTTAGTGGCTAACTGAAAGTTTGGCGATTCAAACCCACCAGCAGTTCCACTGGCGATCTGCTCCTGTAAAGATACAGCCTAGGAAACCCTATAGGGCCGTTCTCCTCTGTCATATAGGATCACTCTGAGTCTGAATCGACTCGATGGTACACAACAACGACAAGATATTAGGTGAGTCCAAAAAATGACTTAAAGTAAATGACACTAAAAGAAATAATGAATTATATGAAATGTATTAAAAAAACAGAAAGACATCTGGATACTAAATTACTTCATTTGATTATCATCTCCAACAAACTGCTCAGAAATGATAAAAGAACAGTACCAAAACCTATTGCCAGTGAGTTGGTTCCAACTCATAGTGACCCTATAGGACAGAGTAGAACTGCCCCATAGGGTTTCCGAGGCTGTAATCCACATGAGTTTTGGTTTGGCCCACTACAGTATACTATATACTTTGAGGTGTTTTATTTCTTCCTCATAGTGATAGGGATTTTGAACTAAGTCACAAACAGTTTCCTATTTCTTGTATGATCACTGGTATGTATTTGCCTCAGGAGGTTAGGGATATAGTCTTAAGCCTTGGAATGAAGTAAATAGGAGTAAATGTATGACAAATCAAAATAGAGTAGCACTAACTACTCTATTTGGTAAAACAGATAAATGTGAAACATGATCATTGTGCCAGAGGATGGGTGAATTTCCAGAATGGGAAGTACCCGACAAGCTCATAAGAACTGTATCTGATTAAGCATAATCTTTTGGTGGAAAGGCAGGATTTTGTAAAGGAAAATTATGTGACTAACAGATTTCTTCAAACAGACACCTTCATGTGATAAAGATAAGCAGTAAGACATTTTTAGGCTTTTAAATAACAATTTTCCAGATCACAAACAGTGTTGTTATAGATAGGAAAAAAATAGGAAATAATGAACAGTTCTCTAGATCAAGGCTCCCCAGTCTTTTTTGCCCTGAGATTTCCTTTCTCAGTAATCTTGAAGACTCACTTAGGAGTTTTAATCATTGCTATTATTATTATTATTATTTTTTTATGCTTTAGGTAAAGGTTTACAGCTCAAGTTAATTTCTCATACAAAAATTTATACACATATTGTTATGTGACACTAGCTGCAATCTCTATAATGGGACAGCACACTCCCCCTTTCCACCCTGGGTTTCCCGTGTCCATCCAACCAGCTCCTGTCACTCCCTGCCTTCTCATCCTGCCTCCCAACTGGAGCCGCCCATTTGGTCTTGTGTAGCTGCTTGAACTAAGAAGCACACTCTTCAGGAGTATTATTTTATGTTTTATAGTCCAGTCTAATCTTTGTCTGAAGAGTGGGCTTTGGGAATGATTTTAGTTCTGGGTTAACAGAGCGTCCAGGCGCCATGGCTTCTAGGGTTCCTCCAATCTCAGTCATACCATTAAGTCTGGTCTTTTTACGTGAATTCGAGTTCTGCCCCACACTTTTTTCCTGCTCTGTCAGGGACTCTCTGTTGTGTTCCATGTCAGGGCGGTCGTTGATGGTAACCGGGCACCATCTAGTTCTTCTGGTCTCAGCCTGATGGAGTCTCTGGTTTATGTGGCCCTTCCTGTCTCTTGGGCTAATATTTTCCTTGTGTCTTTGGTGTTCTTCATTCTCCTTTGCTCCAAGTGGGTTGGGACCAATTGATGCATCTTAGATGACTGCTCGCCAGCTTTTAAGACCCCAGATGCCACTCACCAAAGTGGGATGCAGAACATTTTCTTAATGAACTTTGTTATGCCAGTTGACCTAGATGTCCCCCGAAACCATGCTCTCCAGACCCCAGCCCCTGCTACTCTGTCACTCAAAGTATTTGGTTGTGTTCAGGAAGCTTCTTAGCTTTTGGTTTAGTTCAGTTGTACTGAGTTACCCTGTATTTAATCATTGCTATTTTTGAGATATACTCTAAAGAAGCAAGCTGAAGTAAAAATGTTGTAGACAACCATATTCTTAAATAGTGTATATATTTATTATGTAATTTTAATAATCGTAATACATGAATAGGTTTTTACTTTTGCCCTTTTACCAGGTGATTCATGCTGTTTAACTATGAAGATAATACACCATTTGTGTACAAATGAATTTTTAAATGACATATTGAATTTGGTTTGGGGATCAAATATATTTTATGTATTTATGTATGTCTGGGTTTGCTAGTGCCGCTGTAACAGAAGTACCACAAGTGAGTGTCTTGAAAGGACAGAAATTTATTTTCTCACATTTTGGAAGGCTAGAAGTCTGAATTCAGAGTGGGCTCTGGGAGGAGATCCTTCTTTCTATTTTAGCTTCTAGTAGCCGGCAGTCCTTGGTTCCTTGGTGATCTTCATGCGGCATCTATCTTCCCCTGTTTGTGCTTGCTTGTCTCTGTGTCTAATCTCTTTTTATAACTCAGAAGTGATTAGGTTTGTGACACATACCACAGTGATACGGCCTCATTAACATAACAAAGAAACCCCTATTTCCAAATTAGATTATATCCACATGTATAGGGTTTAAGATTCCAACATATATTTTGGGGGGGACACAATTCAATCTGTAACACTACTATATGTTAAATATATGTCATTTATATGTTAAAGTGTTGATCAAAATGTAACTGTTGTTGTTAGGTGCTGTCGATTGCGACTCATAGCGACCCTATGTACAACAGAATGAAACACTGTCCAGTCCTGCACCATCCCATTGTTGCAGCCACTGTGTCAATCCACCTCATTGAGGGTCCTCCTTTTTTTCGCTGACCCTCTACTTTACCAAGCCTGATGTCCTTCTCCAGGGACTGGTCCCTTCTGATAACATGTCCACATTACATGAGATGAAGTCTCACCATCCTCGCTTCTAAGAAGCATTCTGGCTGTACTTCTTCCAAGACAGATTTGTTCGTTCTTCTGACAGTCCATTCAATATTCTTCACCAACACCATAATTCAAAGGCATCAGTTCTTCTTTTGTCTTCCTTATTCATTGTCCAGCTTTCACATGCGTATGAGGCAATTGAAAATACCATGGCTTGGGTCAGGCACACCTTAGTCCTCAAAGTGACATCTTTATCTTTTACACTTTAAAGAGGTCGTTTGCAGCAGATTTGCCCAATGCAGTACGTCATTTGATTTCTCGACTGCTGCTTCCATGAGCATTGATTGTGGATCCAAGTAAAATGAAATCCTTGACAACTTGAATATTTTCTCTGTTTAGCATAATATTGCTTATTGGTCCAGTTGTGAGGATTTTTGTTTTCTTTATGTTAAGGTGTAATACATACTGAAGGCTGTGGTCTAACTATGTGTTAGGGCATAAAAATAGGGAAAAAAACCTACTTTCATGACTGAATATAGGTAGTTCTTCTATTTTGTGCTTAAAACACTAATTGGTTTATTTTTATAATTTTCATGTTTTATATTTGAATAGAGAGAGAGAAGAAAGATTTGGCTTATTTGTAAGCTGTTCTGTGAAATTAACATATTGCAGTAAAAAACTGAATATAGCATCATTATAATTTCTTTTTTTATTGATTTTTTGAAGTTCCAGAAACATCGTAATGTGGTATATAAAATTTCTGATCAGATAAATGCAATTTTTAGAATCTGGTGAAGATGGTCTTGAGATAAACTTGTTGAATTATCATTCTTATGCTCTTTGTGAAACTGTATTTCAACATTGATGTTCCTGTCTTCATTATGGGTATTATTAGCCAAAATATTGTTGTGAACAATGACAATTAAAAACTGTGTAAATGTCAAAATCACTACAGCAGTATTTATTGCTCAGGATGATTGCTCATCTGATCTCCATTAACTGCCAAGCATGTCAGTCATTGTGTATTTGGAGGCTCTCAGATTGTTCTGTTTTAAAGGGAGATATATTTAAATTACCTATTGATAAAAATAGAAATTAAAATAGACCCTATTAACTCTTAAAATCACAAACTTCTTGAACACTTTCAAGAGTCCCCAGAGGTTTGCAAACTTATTGGAAAATGCGTTCTAATTCAAAAAAAGTAAATATACCAACACCAGTTTGTACCAGTAAAAATTTTATAAATGGTAAACAAAACAAAATGTAATAATAAAGATATTGCACAATGAAATCACCTTGTTTTCAACTATCTATTCAGCTCTTCAAAATAGTAAACTATTAAGTGATAAATTTTTGTAATGTTTTTTAGAGTTATATGGGTTTTTGGATCTTTCGGTTTAAAAGGGGCACTTATAAGGAAAAGTAAGGAAGGCAAAAAACTGTGTTAACAACCTCACAGCCAGGGCTCAACCAACGCTGGATACAACAGAGACCTAATAGACTGGGAGCGGTTCTGGGAACTGAATAGCAACTCTGCTATCAGTCCTCAGAACCAAACATCCTGAGAACAGTGTCAAGTACATAGTCTAAAACCAATAGCCATCAAGTTGATTCTGACCCACAGCAACCATATAGGACAGAATAGAACTGCCCTACTGCTGGATTCAAACTGCTGACCGTTTGGTTAGCATCCCAGTACT